CTTTTCCTTCCATCTCTTCTAGGTTTAAGGACACATTTGTGAACGTTGTGGGACACCGAGTTGCTGAACGCTCCCTCCAGCTGGGCTCCCTCCACCCCACACCCGAGGCCCACAAGTTTGGCCTTGTGGACGAGCTGGTGCCAGAGGACAAGCTCCAGGAGAAGGCCGCGGCTGTTATGGCACAGTGGCTGGCCCTTCCCGGTAAGGGCGGCACCTCCGGCAGAGGAAGGGGGGGATCTGATCAGGGTGGGAAGGACAGGTACCGGGGCTGGTACCTGGGAGCCTCATAACAGTTTCCGTGTAAAGGGAAGGTGTGAACGGCTGGGAGGTAGGAAAGCTCAGCACAGCGGTCCAGGCAGCCTTGGGCTAACAGAGACGTGCTTGCCAGTGCCTCTGCGTGGGAGAACGCCGTGCTGGGTGTGCAGGGCACATGGCTCCAGCTCGGCTTGCCCTGCCAGCCCTGCTGAGTCAATCCGGAGGTGCCTGAGCTCCGGATACAAACTGAATCTCTGTGTCTCTCAGTGGAGTTGTTACCCCAGGAAACCTGCCGTGGAGCTGAGGGAACAGGCTGGGCGAGAGTGCCTGGGTGGCTGCCAGTCCGCCTTTGTGGTCTGTATCAACTCTCATCACTCTGCTGAGCTGGGGATGGCGATGGGGTCGTGAAGACAGACAGCAAACGCAGACATCATGTGCGTGTTTGGGCTGCTCTGTGACTGGCAGCACGTGGTTCCTGGGCTGGGAGAGGGCTGTCCGCCGGCCAGGGCTAGACCTGAGCGATCGCATCCCATGCCACCTCCTGAGCGCTGCAGGGAGGTGCAACTGCTTAATCAGCCTTTGGCTGCTCTTTCTATAGAAACCTGAATGAATCTGGGCAGAAATGGATGGATCCCAGGGCTGTCACTTTGTGTCCCAGCCTTGGAAGAGGGTCCCTAAACAGCTCTCTCCCCTGCTGTCCTGGCGATAGAGTTAAACCTCAGGCCCCAGGAGCAGGGAGCATGTCTCAGCTGTGCTCTCTCCTGACTTCCAGGAGGCACCATGCAGATCCTTCCCCAGAGCCCTAAATCAGAGCCAGGGGGAGTCTGTCCGGGTGAAGGTGTCCGTAGCACGCGGGTGCTGGAGCGATTCGGGGTTCCCAGCGCGTGGGGTGTTGGTCGTCGTTTCGCTGTTGCTGTTGCAGCACACTGAGAGCGCGTATGCAACCTCCGTGCAACAGATGTGCAGGCGCATCATTGCTGGTGGCTCTGTGTGTGTGTGTATGAGCAGATGTGTGCTCGAGGCTTCGGTCAGCTCCAGCAGCCAGTGCTGTTCCAGAAACATCCACGTATCTGTACTGAACTGGCCCAGAGCCTGCCGTCGGGATGAGCTCGAGGGGACAGTGCTGCTGGCTTGCGTGTGGCATGTTTGGCATGAGCAGACTGTCTTGCCAGAGGACAAAGGGGCTGGGCTGAGGGAGCTCAGAGCCAGAGCAGTTTCAAATAGTGGAGAATTTTGTTCGGTTACTGCTGTCCTGAGCCCGGTGGTGTGTATTGGGGTGGGGGCTGGGCTCTGGAGGGTGCAAAGAGAAGGAGGTGCACAACTTTGTCATCTGTCCCAGTAGATCAGTTGTTTCCCCACTGAGCGGTACAGATCATAATTTATTGTATGAGAATTTATCCAGTTCAGCTTCCAGCCGGTGGGTTTTTCTTACACCTTTCCCTGCTGCTTTAAAGAGCCCTTTGGTGTGCAGTACCTCCCCTTCCCTTCGGAGGGACCTGCACATGGTGGCAGTGGCCGAGAGCTGGCCAGGGGTGAGGACCGCGCACGTTCCCCATCCTCGCTCTCCTTTCCGCAGACCATGCCCGTCAGCTCACCAAGTCCATGATGAGGAAGGCAGTGTTGGACCGCCTGGTAGCTCACCGGGAGGAAGACGTTCAGAACTTCATCAGCTTCATCTCAAAAGAGTCCATCCAGAAATCGCTTCGCATGTACATGGAGATGCTAAAGAAGAAGAAGAGCTGAGGAGCCGGCCAGCTGGGGTCCGGTCCCAGGAGCTCGAGTGACCCTTCGAAACGCTGCAGTAGCTGTAGACTTTCACAGTGAAGCCATCTGCAGTGTCAGCAACCGGTGATGTGCTGCCTGCTCCCGTGGCCGCCCCAACCGCCCCTTCCCCTTAGTCCCCATAGAGTGCCTGACACCACCGCTGCCTTTCCTGAGAGCGGAGGGAGCTGCCTGCTCAGCTCCTCTGAGGAACGGACAGGGAGAGGGTCTCGACACCGCTGTGGCCCGAGCCCGCCGGTCCTTGGATGTCCTCCCTCCTGTCCAACAGCTAATTGTGAAATGAGATGTGTCAATAAAGTCTTTGATGAGGTAGGACATGGATGCGTCATTCCCCAGCCTGTCTGCGGTCACCGCTTCCTGGCTGGGGGCCTGTCCCTGGGCTCTGGTTCGTGGTGGGCTGGGGAGGCCTGGGCACGGCCGGCGGCTGGCTGCGACCCTCCTCCAGACCGGG